CCGTGGGGTGGTGGTGCAAGCCCGCACCCAATGGTTGTCTTTGCTGCACTTGAAACAGGGACCTGGCGGCTTTTGGGGAGCCGGTCGGACAGCATATGCCAGCATCTGACAGTTCCTTTTTTGGGCTTTTTCATCTCTTCCATGGTACACCTTAAATGCCAACACTTAACACTTCTGCCTGTGGGGTCAGAGGGTTTTTCTCGAAGCATTTAAGTTTCGCCCTTATGTCGGGGAAGCTCTGTGAGACAAAATGGGTCATAAGGAGCTGCCTGCCCTCTGGGCTTTCAGGATCTAGGCTAGTATATTGAAGAAGGGCCTTAGTAAGCTGTTCTAAGAAATGAGACAGATTTTTTATCTTATCTTGAATTATCATTTTTAGTTTTTCACAGTTTACTGTTTTTAGGGCAGCCTTACAGAGGCCTGCCAGAAAGAAGGTAATAAACCTATCCCTGGCTAGAGACCTGCCCTGGGTGTTATAATCCCAATGTGGGTCCTGATCAGGAACCACCTCAGCCCTTGGAAGGTGTGTGGGGTTAGTTTGGTGAACCTCATCTGCACGTGTTTTAGCCTGTTCTCAAGCCTGCCTGCGCTCCTCAGGAAGTAGATTATTAGCAAGTATCATATATACATCATGAAGGGTGAGACTATAAGATTGGGTAATATATTGAAATTGTTTAATAAAGGAAGCAGAATTAGGGATATAAGAACCCAGTTTCTTTTCTATCTGAGAGAGTTCTGTGAGAGAGAGTGGGACATGGACGTTAACCAGTCCATCCACTCCAGCCACCTCTCACAAAGGGAGAATGGTTGGTGGGTTTAAATGGCTGGGGTCAGACCTTTAGCAGTCTGAGAGTAGGTAGCAGGAGATGTAAAGGCTGGAGCCAGAGCTGAGCCTTTGGGAATGCCTGCTGTTGAACAGGTAGAGGAAGCCAGAGGAGGAGCCAAAGGGACAGGCACCCTGGGAATAGGAGTGGGAGTGGAAAGTCAGATAGGCAGAGGTTCATTTGCAGGATCGAGAGTTAGAGTTTCTGGAGTCAGAGATTTGCCTGGTTTAGGTATAGCTAAGAGCATATGGGCAGGAGAGAAGGAATCCAGAAGAGAAGGTTTAGAACTTAGACAGAAAAAAAGCTATAGTATAAGGCAACTCCTTCCATTTGCCTGTTTGCTGGCAGAAGTTAGATAATTCCCGTAAAATATTGGGGTCTAAGGAACCACTTGGCGGCCATTTTTTGTTATTTTGTAAGGCATATTTGGGCCATCTCTTATTACAGAGGTGGACAAGCTTAGGAATCTTTAAGCAAGGCATTAAGTTGAGGGGTTTTAAAGCTTCCAAAAGGCATCCTAGGGGAGAGGTGGGACTGATGGGATTACAAGTCTTATTTCCCATGTCTGCAGCAGAGAGGGAAAACAAACAAACAAACAAACAAACAAAAGTGTAATCCCAAGCCAAGGCCCCAGGTGTCCCTAAGGCCAAGGATGGATCTGTACCAGGCACAGGCCACCAGACATCTCATCAGATGTAAGGTCAGGGCCTAAGGCATGTGAAGGCAAGGACTCCGTCTGACAGCATTTACTGCTTTGTCAAGCCAGAACAATGTGTTGGCCTTACATAGCCTGAAGATGCACCCGAAGAAAGGGTTCTGACCGAGAGAATTGTATCTCAAAACTGCAGATGTGGGAGATGGCTAGAAATTTTAGCCTGCAATAGGAACCGACCATAGCCAGTGACAACCATGGTCAGGGTTAACCCCAGTCTCAGGGACACCAGTGGGGTACTGGACACTCAACAGTCTTCACCACAGATCCAGGAGACTGTTTACGCTGGCTGAAAAGTAGGGGACTCACCAATCGAAGTAGCTGGTGGTGTGTACAGGATCCAGCGGCCAGGCAAATGGACAATGGGCTGTCAAGGATGGAACAGACTCCCCTGGTACAGGTTCCCTTTACAAAGCAGGAACCTGTAAAACCATTTTGCCTTGCAAAGTTCAGTCGTCACTTTCCTATGGGTCCTGCATGTCCAGATGATACAACATTTTGTAAAGCAGTCCAGGCAAGAACAGTTTCTTGCCCAAATGGTGATTTTTGCCAAGAAGAAGATAAATTGCATATGGAGTATCTTCAACATCCATCTTCCTTTTTGAAGTAAATTGGTGCTACTAGGAGCAGATGTGTCTCACTGTCCAGAAAGTCTTAAGTTTTTAAAGCATCTTAAGTGCCATATTCTGCAGGTCTTGAAGTGTTTGAAGATTACCTACCTAATTGAAATATATCTATGTATACCTAGAAAACTTAACTAGCATGACTATAAATTTGATTATTATGCATGACTAATTATTAATCTGTATTTATTAATTATACATTACAATTTCAGATGAGGTGCCCAAACATAATACCTTAAACAAGAGTAGAAATATATATAGAATAACAAAATTAACTTTAAATTTGTATCAATAAACTAAAATCCATAGCAGTGTAAAACATTTTAAACAAGTTTTTGCTCCTTAAAAGTAGATTAAATAATCTACCCTTTCATCCTATCATATCTATATCTTATCTCCATTTTTTCTTTAGAAAGATATTGACTATGAACAATAACAATTTGTAACCAACAACCTAAACAAAGATAAACATCCATAATCCAGTTTTTGGGAATGTGGAACTAGGTTTTTAGGTTACTCTCAGCTGATAGGGGGCACTGGTAGTCTTATAGGGATCCTGAGAAAATTTGAGATAATGGTCAAGTCCTGGGAACACTGGCTATAACCTTTGTTGATAGATACCATCTGTTAAGGTTCAAGAGGTCTGGCTTGATCAAATCTGATCCATCTTAACCTGGAACAAATCCATAGCCTCTTGCTTCCAGTGGAAACAACAGCAGAGCCTCCTTTCCATAGAAAAATATCCTTAGATCCAAATTTTGAAGTCAAGATACCTTTAAAATATACATATTGGTTTAACTCATCAGCCTTTATAATCAAATGTCTTTCTCTGGTTAAAAATCTCAAAGACAATATCCAGATTCTTGGTATAATTTTCATCCTTATGTGGCTTAACTTATATATTTTTCTTATTGTGTCTTTAAAGACTTTATTTTTAAAAACTTTTTAATATATGAATATATTCCTTTTTCTCTCTTTCAAGCCTACACATATTTTTACATATAATGCAAACCATTTTAAGTCTTAGTGCATCTAAGTCTGCCTTATTGTGAATCTATTGATTTAAACTACAGTGGCTAGTACTGAAGCAGAAGCCTTGACTGATAACTCCGCCCACTTCAGCTTCCCAATATGGTGGTGGTATATTTACCACCAGCTCTGGAAGCCATGCACACCACCAACTCTTGGAAGCAATGGGTCTATCGAAGAAGTGTGTAGCCCAGAAACCATTTTTTATTTGTTTGTACTAGCCAAAGCTAAATCCACCAGGCAGCATACTGCATGGCTTGGAGATGCCTCTGTGTACTCCAGCAGGAATCTGCCATGATGCAGGTCAAGCCCACATGCAGCTGCAAACCTGCCATACTATAGCTCATGGCTTGCCTGAGAAACACAACTAGGAAGCTGGTTTAGGCTCCATTTTAGAATCTATTTTTTTAAAGCTTTCTCAGGTTTTAGGTGGAAACTCTTGCCCCATGTTGGGCAGCCAAATGTAATTGGAAGTTTTCCTGTGTCCCAGTTGGTTGGCAGTCAGGACAAATCTCTCCCACTCCCATCCCCCAAGTAAATACACAGAGGCTTATATTAATTATTACTGCTCAGCCATTAGCTAAGGCTTATTACTAACTCTTACAATTCACAGCATAAAGAATGACATCCCACAGCACATCTCTGTATCATTAAACAAATGTTCCACAGCAGAAGCAAATATGTCAAATCTTAAAATAATATTATATGACTGGAGCCTCCTGCCTTTTCTTTTGTTTTTATATTATTGTGTGGTGTGCCTGGACTGTAGGTTTTTGTTCATGTCAAGCACATGCTGTTGTATTGAGCTTCAGTCATATCTGTAATTTTAGAATTTGGCAGCAGCTACCATTCTGTTTTTCAGGATGGCATGTAATCATGATATTAATACTGCCCAAGACTTATGAGTCATTGGGTTGCAATGAAAATGTATATTTCACCTGAATACATGGATATGTACCACATGGGTATCTGGTCCTCACAGTGATCAAAAGATGGTCTCAGAAACCCTGCACTTGGAATAATGGAGAGTTGAGATCCCCCAAGTAAGTACTGGCAATTGAGCCCACCTCAATCAAGACCAGCAAGAGCTCTTTACTACTGAGCCATCTCTTCTGCCCTGTGTTGAATATTTAATATTAACATTTATGTTGTTAATGTGTTCATCTCTCTATAAGTAACTGTTTAAACATTCAGTGCCTTTTACTACATCTTATTGATGCTATAGTTTAAATTGGGGTACTTCAGGTTTCTGGAAGATGAATACAGAACTCTTTGTAGAAATATCAGTAAAAAACCTCTGAGTTCATTCTATCTTTTTTTTGTTTTGTGTGACTCTTTTTTTTTGCATAGAATACAGGGTCTTAATATATACTTCAGGCTGTCCTGGAACTGACTGCATAGACTAATCTGGCATTCAACTCCAAGGCAGATTTATCTATGTCTGTCTTCTGAGTGCAGGGGTTATATGTGTGAGCCAATAGACCAAACTTGTTCAACTTATTTTTCTATTTTTGTAGTTAGCAATTGTTCCTACAATTGCTCTCATATGTACTCTGTACTGTAGATCTGTTTATTATTCTTTTTTATATAGGATATCAAGATGATATTCTATTCACAGGATACAGAAATGACAGAGGTGAACCTCCTATTCAGTTTCCTTCTAAAGTAACTTGATGATTACATTATAATGTCTACATCATGAGATCAGTTTGGGGAGCACCACAATTATATGACTATACTGTCAAAGAAGTATACATTTACAATGTTGTCAATATCATCCTTTCTGTTATACACATGTATCGGATATTTTAGAATGCAGTGACCTATAATGATGTACATGTCAACTTCACTTGGGAAGAGTGGGCTTTGCTGGATAGTTCTCAGAAGAATCTCTACAAAGATGTGATGCTGGAGACCTACAGGAATCTCACTATCATAGGTAAGAGGAAATTTTCTTCAAGTTTTCAAATAAGGAGACAACTGTTCCTTGGTTTTTGATGCTCTTCTGTAATTTGATTGAGAAAGAAGAGTGAGTTGAATAATTCAGGCATGGTTCTGAGGTTCACTGAAGATAATAACTTCAATTCTGCACAATTTTCAACAATATAACATACATTTTCTGGTACTATGTTTTAGGATACAGTTGGGAAGACCATAATATTGAAGAACATTTTCAGAGTTCTAGAAGACATGAAAGGTAATTATTATGTGCCAGCTGATACAAATGTGCGCCTGAAGAAATTTTAATGCGTCCTGGAAGTTTTAAACAAAAACAACAGTATAAATAAGCTTCATGTGTATTGATGTGTATTAAATTCTCTCTAAACAATATACCTCAATTTCAGGTAGTTGAATTGCATTTGCAAGGCATTCTTTTAAGAAAGAAGACAAGGAAGCAATGCCTTAACAGATATCACTATTTGAATCATAGCTCCATGAGAGCTATGCTGTAGAACTGTCAATCTATTTATTTCATAACACTCATATTACAAGAGTTATACACATTGAAGAGGTGATAAGTATATCTCTAAAACATTTTAATAAGCAAATAGTCCACAGTAAAGTTAGTGTTACTCATATATTTGTTGTGACTGGGCTAAGTTCAGTGAGATTAGCAGTTAGAGTGAAGAGTCCAAGGGAATTTTTTTGTGGAGAAACCTTAATCAGTACACTACAAGTCTATGAGGAACAGAAAGTCAAACTGTTCATTCGATGGGGAAATTTTTTATTTGTTATTCTTCCTTTACTAATATATCATATGTCCCTCTGGATACAAGCTATATGAGTATAGGGATATGGAGAAATACAACATACCTCTTTCTCAGAATAATTAGAAGATATGTAGCAGTCCCCATGTTGAGTATACTTGTTGAATTTGATTCAAGTATACAAGTAATTCATTTTACAGCTTCATTTTTAATATATCAACAAACTCAAAATTCAGAAAAGCCCTGTGAGTACTATGACTCTGTAAATCCTTCTGTTTGTCCAGTTCACTTTGCAAATGTAGTATGACTTAAAGTATAATAAAATTCATAAATGCAATAAGGGTGGTAAAGATCTGAGTTTTTCTTTTTCTCTTTAAATTGTTGAAAACTCTCATATAGAAAAAAAATTCTGTGAATGTGCAACATATAATAAAGGATCTTGCCATCACAGACATCTTCAAAGATGAAAAACAACCCTTAATGAAGGGGAACAACATAGGTGTAAACATGGTGATAAATCCTTAATCTTTACAAGTAGACCAAATTGAAATATGAATTCATATATATAAAGAGATTCAACCATGTATTGAGTTTTGTAAAGCTTTAACATATGCCAATTCTCTTTGCAGGCACAAAAGAAGTGATACGGGAGAGAATTCTTCTGTATATACTCAGTGTGTTAAATCTTTTGTATATGACAGTCATATTCAAAGGCATGAAAGAACACATACTAGAGAGAGACACTATGAAAGTAATAAGTGTGGCAAAGCCTTTGCACATAACAGTAAGCTTCAAAGGCATACAAGAACACATACTGGAGAGAAACCCTATGAATGCAATCTTTGTGGTAAAGCCTTTCCATGTCATAATGCTCTTCGAAGGCATGGAAGAACACATACTGGAGAGAAACCCTATGAATGTAATCAGTGTGGTAAAGCCTTTGCTCGTAACAGTAATCTTCAAATACATACAAGAACACATACTGGAGAGAAACCCTATGAATGTAATCAGTGTGGTAAAGCCTTTGCTTGTAACAGTAACCTTCAACTACATAAAAGAACACATTCTGGAGAGAAACCCTATGAATGTAATCAATGTGGTAAAGCCTTTACACGACGCACTCATCTTCAAGTGCACAAAAGAACACATACTGGAGAGAAACCCTATGAATGTATTGAATGTGGTAAAGCCTTTGCAAAACAAGATGCTCTTCAAATGCATAAAAGAACACATACTGGAGAGAAACCCTATGAATGTAATCAGTGTGGTAAAGCCTTTGCTTGTAACAGTAACCTTCAACTACATAAAAGAACACATACTGGAGAGAAACCTTATAAGTGTAATCAGTGTGATAAAGCCTTTGCTCGTAACAGTGATCTTCAAATACATAAAAGAACACATTCTGGAGAGAAACTCTATAAATGTAATCAATGCAATAAAGCCTATGCAGAACACAGTCATCTCCAAGATCATAGAAGAACACATACTCAAGAGAAACCCTATGAAAGTATTCAATGTTGTAAAACCTTTGCAAAACAAGGTATTCTTCAAATGCATAAAAGAACACATACTGGAGATAAACCGTATGAATGTAATCAATGTAGTAAAGCCTTTGCACGACGCACTCATCTTCAAGTGCACAAAAGAACACATACTGGAGAGAAACCCTATGAATGTATTGAATGTGGTAAAGCCTTTGCAAAACAAGATGCTCTTCAAATGCATAAAAGAACACATACTGGAGAGAAACCCTATGAATGTAATCAGTGTGGTAAAGCCTTTGCTTGTAACAGTAACCTTCAACTACATAAAAGAACACATACTGGAGAGAAACCCTATGAGTGTAATCAGTGTGGTAAAGCCTTTGCTCGTAACAATGTTCTTCAACTACATAAAAGAACACATTCTGGAGAGAAACCCTATGAATGTAATCAATGTGGTAAAGCCTTTACACGACGCACTCATCTTCAAGTGCACAAAAGAACACATACTGGAGAGAAACCCTATGAATGTATTGAATGTGGTAAAGCCTTTGCAAAACAAGATGCTCTTCAAATGCATAAAAGAACACATACTGGAGAGAAACCCTATGAATGTAATCAGTGTGGTAAAGCCTTTGCTTGTAACAGTAACCTTCAACTACACAAAAGAACACATACTGGAGAGAAACCTTATAAGTGTAATCAGTGTGATAAAGCCTTTGCTCGTAACAGTGTTCTTCAAATACATAAAAGAACACATTCTGGAGAGAAACCCTATGAATGTAATCAATGCGGTAAAGCCTTTGAATATATCAACAATCTTCAAAATCATGAAAAAAAGTCACACTGCAGAGAAACCCTAAAAATATAGACAGTGTGGTAATGTTCTACACTTTATGCAGGAGTAAAACTTTGTGTGCAATCAATATTTTAAAGCCTTTGTGTATTACAATAGTCCTTGAGTACCTTTAAAAATACTGAGGGCTTATTATTACAAAGTATTCGGTAAGATCTTTATCCAGCACACTTGCACTCAGTTACACATGAGTCTTTATTCTGTAGGAAAAATTTGACAGTGTTAGCAATCTATTAGAGCTTTATGATGTCCTTTTTTATATTGTTTCCCCTGCAAACTCCTAGAAAAAAAAGTCAATTTAGTAATTTATGAAGCCCTATGTGTTGGGTAAACAGGCCAGCCAAAGATAACCATGTGAGCCTGAAAGCAGAGCCAGTGAAAACATACACTTTGGCCTGAACCCCAAGCCAAAGAAACACACTGTATGTCTGACCAAATGAGCACAAAATCCAGCCAATCTCTGAGCTTAGCCAATCTCAGGGATTGAAATCTGATCAATTCCCACCCTTAGAATCTTCTCTCTGTAAAAATTCAGCCCCTAAGAAGCCTCATAAATGCCCTGTTCCTGTTCATTTGGCAGCTGCCCTTTTCTACTCTGCCAGAGGCAGTCACCCTCCTGGGTTCCTCCCTCCTAAATAGTTTTGAGTGAAGACCTTTCACCAGAGCTGAGCAGTATCTCTGCTGGGAATCTCCCTAATGGAACAGAGCAGAGAAGCAATGGACATCTCTGATGAGAAACTCCTAGTGTAGTGGAACAGTGAAACAAGGGACACTTCTTCTGGGAAACTAGATTAGGGGAGCAGAGCAGACATGGCAACTTTTCACCAGACCCAGAGCAGACTGCTATATTTCTGCAAGAGTTCCCCCATTAGTTGAGTGAGGCAGAGAAGTTGAGGGCTGACAAGAAATGGACAACTCTGCTGTCAAACTCCCTAGTGGAGCAGAGCAGTGAAGCAGTAGACACCTGTGTTGAGAAACTCCCTTAGGGTAGTGGAGCAGAGCAGCAATTGGCATGTCTCCTGGGCATCTCTCTTAGCAGAGTGAAGCAGAGCACAAGTGTAATGGATCTTTCTCAAAGAAGAGCAGTATTGCCGCATCATGTAGGGAGATCATCCCCCACCAGAACACACTACAGTTACAGGCTGACTTCCCACCAATCAGTATTTCTTTTTCCTCACAGCTGTAGATATCTATAACACCTCCCCTTCACAGTTGTAGGTATAGCCTGACTTGTGACAGTCAGGGTATCCTTGTCTTCAGAGCTGTATCCAGGATATTTTCCCGCTACAGCTTCAGGTGTAGCCTGACTTCCCAACACTCAGGATACCTCTCTCCACACAGTTGTAGATATCCAGGGTTGTTATTATTCACAGTTGTAGGGACAGCCTGACTTCCAACAGTCATGGTACCTTTCTCTCCAGAGCTTTAGCTCTTGTCCTATAAATTTAAGTGATAATGTAACCCTTTTAGAGTTTATACTTTCACTAATTACATGAAATAATTGATCCAGATATGTGAATTTGGATCAGTTACTTTTTCTGTTGTGATATAATGTCTCTGTCAACTTATAAAAGAATTAAATTTGTCTCTTGGTTCCAGAGGATTACAGGATGACCATGAAAGTGGCATGGCAACAGATGTCAGACATGACAGCTAAAACAGGAGTCTAAGAACTCACATTTTTTAACCTTCAGCACAAAGCAGAGAGGGGGAACTGGAAATGGTGTGTGGACCTAAATTCTCAAAGCCTATGCTCAGTGACATATTTCCCTCAGCAGGGCAGCGTATCTGAAATCTTCCCAAATGATACCACCAACTTAGAAGGGTTGATTTCTCTGACTTCAAGTTTACATGTTTGTTTTCTGTTACATGATCCAATTCATGATGTCAAAAAAATTCTATAAGTCATCTATTAAATGCCTCAACACCTGTTTTACAGGAGTGAATGCTTAGAAGAGAAAAACTTTTATCAGTGAAAAATTGTTTAAAGAGTTATTTTAATTTTAATTATGTGATATGATTGTGTGTTTGTGTTGTTATGTGAATATGCATGCTGGTTCCTGAGAATGTTAGACCCTTGGATCTCTTTTAGGATGAATTACACGAAGTTGTCAAAAATCAGAACTTGGTCCTGTGAATGAACTTTTCTTAACTGTTCAGCCTTGTCTCTAGCTATGTAAATATTTTAAAGCCTATTAATATAATTTTGAAATCAGGAAATAGGGGAAATCAGGGACAAACTCATAAAAGAAAAACCCTAGTCATGGCAATAAAATTTACTTTGTAACAAATATTTATGGTGCATGTATAATGTGGTTATGGGTTTGTAGTCCATGGCAGATATGTGGAGACCAGAAGAAAGCTTTGTGCTGTCTACTTTTCATCCTTTTTATATGGTGATCAAGGTCAGGTTTCTAGCCTTGCACACCACAGACCTTTCCAACTGAGCTGTCTCACTGGTGCTCAAATAAGATTAATAGAAATATTACATGAGTAAACTATTGCCTTCTTTTCAGATTATAAACATAATTTCATATAAGGGTAGAAGAACATAGGACAATTTGAATACTAAATCCTCTTTGCATAGGAATATATATATACATATATATGTATATATATATATATAAAACCATTCATTTTAAATGTGTTTATTCTGAAGATCATACATTTGTTCATAATCCTCTTTCAGAACCATAATTGAATGCCAGATAATTGCCTCATTCAGTAAAGTTCATTGCTGCTAATCCTGATGACCTGAGTTTTATCTCTGGGTGATGCATATTACTTCTACAAATTTTCTCTTATTTCTACACTTGGGCAGTGGCATATGCACATTCCCACATAAGCAAATACATAAATAATTTTAAAAGCCATATAAGTGCCATTGAGGTCACTTGCAGCCAAATGGCTCCCTAGGTTTCATTTAGAACTCACATAGGGAAAGTAGATCATAGACACCTGTAATCTGTCCTCTCAGTGCTGCATACACACCATGGCACAGGTGTGCACACAAATGCAATTCAAACATTTTTTTTTTTTTTTTGGTTTTTCGAGACAGGGTTTCTCTGTGTAGCTTTGCGCCTCTCCTGGAACTCACTTGGTAGCCCAGGCTGGCCTCGAACTCACAGAGATCCGCCTGGCTCTGCCTCCCGAGTGCTGGGATTAAAGGCGTGCGCCACCACCGCCCGGCCAATTCAAACATTTTTAAAAGGATGAAATTTAAAAAGTGAAGAGAATAACCCAATTATTGAGAACTTCTAAAGTTATTTGCCCATCTAAATTATAGAATTTGAAGAATTAGGACTGTTCATCTAAACAACGATGGTCCCTTTTTAATCTTCTTTTGTCCTTTCATTCTCAAATTCAAAGATAGGTGATTTAAAAATACACTTCTCAGCTGCACTTCAAGGAGCAGAACTTTAATCCCAGCACTTGGAGACTATGTTGGGCTAATCTTTCTGAGTTTTGTGCCAGCTTGGTCCCCATAGTAAATTCCAGGGCAGCCGTGTGGATATATCCTGTCTCATGCATATTCCAAAAATAAAGACACATCTCAAATTATGGAACTTTTCCTAATATTATCTGGCTGGACTCTGACTGGGTTCCACAAAACTTTTTGTTATCTTTACTCACATCAAGAGAAATGTGTTAACATTGAAAATAAGCACTATAGAGAGTCCATTCACAGAGATATAGAAATCCATTGAATGCTTTGACAACTAT